AAAAAAAAAAAAAAAAAAAAAAAAAACCAAGCCACCTTTCAACCCTCTATAGACTATAGTATTTGTTTAAAAGTCCGACAATTTCAAAGTCTACGCATTGGCTTGACTTGCTTTGTTTTAAACTTAAACGGTCAATATACGAAACACGTTTTGGCCTGTCCTCATTTCATAAAAGATCAATCTCACCATTCACCACACATTATTGCCGTTCTTTCTATCCTAAACCAAATCAAAATACAGGTGCTCATCGGTATCCGCCATTTCTCTTACCATGAGACAACCAGAAGCTAGCGCACCATCGTTAGCCAACGCTAATCCGGCATCATTAGAGTACGCTGATCCTGGGACAACAGCCTACGCTCATCCCGCCGTTTCGATCGTCAGCCCTCACTTCTGCAGCCCCCAACCTGTAGATATTGCAATTGTTAGAAAAGGTTTGATCATAACCGATGGCAAATATGAAGTCTCTGATGTCAATGGCAACGTCATTTTTAAAGTCAAAAGAGATGATTTAAGCCTTCTTGCCCGCATGATCTTACTTGACACAGCTGGTTATCCCATCATCTCTCTAAGAAAGAAGGTAAAACTTTGTTAGTTAACATAACACATGAAAAAAACCACATGTATAGGGTTTTTAATGTAGCTTTTGCACTTTAAGCTAGCCTTGTTTGTGAACGTTTAGGTTTATAGGGTAAGAGCCGAAGGGCCTGTTCGGTAACGTTTTAAGGGGTTGTTTTCATTTTCAGAGAACAAAAATTGTTAGTGTTTTAAATGTTTTTGATTCAGAAATCACAGAAGAAAACAAAAAAGAAGAAGCAAGAAGAATTGAGGACTAATGCTCTACTATACGTGTAGCAGAGAAAGTTCATTCACCATTCTCACTCTTACAACCTCACGCACTTAGTGTGAGGAATATATCCGTTAGGCACAGTAGCTGGATCCCTTACATCACAAGGTGATCTCAGCCGTTCACTTAGGCAACCAATAGGAAGCTTACACTTGTCTTTAAAAAAAAAGAATAAAATGAAAAACTAATTAAACTAACTCTTAAGTCAGCTTAAGGCTATAATTCAACAAAAATGAGACAAAAACACGTTTGGTGGCCCAAAAACAGAAAACACTGAGAATGTTTTCATAAAATGAAGACAAGTTCGTGTGTACTTGTAGAAAACATAAAAAAGTTGTTTCCATTCTCATGTGAAACGTTTTCATAAAAATAACTCAATATTATTATTTCAAATTGTATTACCAGATACATTTTCATTCTTTCTGTTTTCTGAAGATGTTTTTTAATTAATCTACCAGACGCATTTTCATTTCCTGAAAATGCAAATTAGTTTTCTTGTTTTCATTCTCTGAAAATATTATCTAAAAACGTTACCAAACGGGCCCTAATATTTTTAGATTGTGAATTTGGTAAAACATAATAGTTTGAATTCGTAGTCTGATAATAAATTGACACACAGTCTTCCAAGAGAACATTTACGAGAGTTTATACTAATTCTCTTGTATGTACTTAACTGACTCATATGTATATTTATGTGCAGTTCTTAAGTGCACATGAAAGATGGCAAGTTTTTAGGGGGGATAGCACAGAAACAAGGGATCTGATTTTTAGTGCTACGAGGTCTTCGATGTTCCAATTTAAGACCAAATTGGATATTTTCTTAGCAAATAACATAGCCGAGAAAGCACCTGACTTTAAGATCAAAGGAAGTTGGTTTGAACGATCTTGTGTCATATATGGTGGGAACTCTTCCACCATCGTTGCCCAAGTAAGATTACTACAATTAATCTTATTATTAACTACATTAATATTAATTAATTACTGCACTGTGTATTGACTGCGATAGAGTGTCTTTGTGGGGAAAATATTGCAGATGCATAAGAAGCGAACAGTTGAAAGCGTGCTGTTTGGAGAGGACAAATTCATGGTGACAGTGTACCCAGGCATTGACTCTGCATTCATCATCGCGCTTATTGTGATTTTTGATAAGATTAATATAAAATAAAATTAATACCAAGGATTGAGTAGATTAGTTTGGATCTACTTTCTTACTCTAATGAGGAAACTTGTTGCTATCCCTTTAGCCTTTGCCTTTGTATGTATTCATAAGTATTAAGATTTATGTTGCTCGATTATAATAATCTTCATTTGATAAATGACATGTGAATGTGATGATGCGCGCACTCGTATTGGTTTGACATGTGTGGCTAAAATCTCACTTTCCTCATATATCTTTTCTTCTTCTAAATTTTCAACCTTTGTTGCCCTCATGTTCATATCTTTCTCCACATTCTCTACTTGTATTGGTTTCTTTCTGTTTCAAATTTCTCAAATTTTGCAAGTAATCAAGAAAGCCTCTAATATACTAAACACGTACGATTTGCCCAAAAAAACTTATTTCCCATGATCTCATATATAAAAGGAGATTTACATAAGGGAGTATTTTTGTTCATCACTTTAAGCTAATGTGTAAGCTCACAACCTTTCTCAACATTTGACACGTGTCTATAAGCATAATCATGGTTACATTAATCAAAGTAAAAAATTAACCATGATTATGCTTATAGACACGTATTAATTATAAGAATAGTGATTCAACAAATATTAAGATTATAAGCAAACTCACCAAGATTATTGTGTTTCCATAAATCAAGTTTTTGACCCTCACTCTTCGACAGAGGCGGCCCACAGCATGTGTGGGCTGTGCGACCGCACAGGGCCCCCAAAATTTAGGGGCCTCCAAATGTTTTAAAAAGCCCAGCAATATATTATATATTTTTTTATTCCAAAAATATTACTATCATTTCCTGGACAGATTGTTCCTTCTTCACAGGGCCCCCAAAATTTAGGGGCCTCCAAATGTTTTAAAAAGCCCAGCAATATATTATATATTTTTTTATTCCAAAAATATTACTATCATTTCCTGGACAGATTGTTCCTTCTTCACAGGGCCCCCAAAATTTAGGGGCCTCCAAATGTTTTAAAAAGCCCAGCAATATATTATATATTTTTTTATTCCAAAAATATTACTATCATTTCCTGGACAGATTGTTCCTTCTTCACAGGGCCCCCAAAATTTAGGGGCCTCCAAATGTTTTAAAAAGCCCAGCAATATATTATATATTTTTTTATTCCAAAAATATTACTATCATTTCCTGGACAGATTGTTCCTTCTTCACAGGGCCCCCAAAATTTAGGGGCCTCCAAATGTTTTAAAAAGCCCAGCAATATATTATATATTTTTTTATTCCAAAAATATTACTATCATTTCCTGGACAGATTGTTCCTTCTTCACAGGGCCCCCAAAATTTAGGGGCCTCCAAATGTTTTAAAAAGCCCAGCAACCCAGCAATATATTATATTTTTTTTATTCCAAAAATATTATTATTTCCTAACGGACAGCAGATTGTTCCTTCTTGATTCTTCTTCCATCTTCCGTCCAAACACAAATCTCCTTTACTCTTTGGCAACTCAAAAGGCGCTCTATGTGCATCTCTTCTCTCAAGTCTCCACCACACCTCTCTCTCTCTCTCTCTCTCTCTCTCTCTCTCTCTCTCTCTCATATTAGAATTTAGAAATTATAAGTTGCATTTGGAATTAGCCATCATATGATTGCAAGAAGAAACCTAAAAAATCAGGTGAATCTCTATCCCTAATTTGTCAATGCTTTTCATATATTGTTTTTGTAATTATTTTAACAGACTTTTTGTTTTGTGAAAATCAGGTGAAACCGTGAAAATCATATGAAAGCCGCAAAAATCAGGTTCTATTGTCCTCTTTTTTTTTGTTATGATGTGTGTTATTTTGCTATATTAGAAAAATGTTTAAAAGAAAACACTCATCTGGATATAGTAAGCGCCAACAAAAGAGAAGAGTTGAAGAATTAACTCAATCTCAGAGAGGTGCTCTTGATAAATTCATTATTAAAGAACCACAAGGTTTAGTTGAAAATCTTGAAAATGTAGGTCATGATGAACAGGCTAATGAAAATGTGGAAAACTTAGGTCATGCTCATGTTGAAAATGATAATGTAATCAATGAGGAGGAACAACCAAGTCAATCTATTCCTTTAGATATTTATGATCCTAGGACTTGGGATGGTCTAGATTCAAAATCAAGAGATGAATTATTGGCAAATGGTCCAAGAAGAGATCTATCAATTGAGAAGGGACCTAGTGATAAATTTTCTAGACATTTCTCCTCAACGTTTTACACTCGTTATTTATCAAATGGAGATAAGTATGATAGGGAATGGCTGGTGTATTCCAAGCATTTGGATAAGGTGTTTTGCTTTTGTTGCAAGTTTTTTAATAAGAGCCCAAAAATAAACTCTTTAGCTAATGAGGGGTTTAATGATTGGGTACACCTTAGTGTGAGACTTAAAGAACACGAAACAAGTGGTGAGCACATGATTAACATGAACACTTGGATTGATTTGCAAATGAGATTGCAAAAAAATGTTACAATTGATAAACATGTTCAACAGCTTATTAATAAAGAGAAAGAACATTGGAAGGGTGTATTAATAAGAATAATAGCTGCTGTAACATATATTGGCAAGTATAACTTGATTGTACTCGTTTTATTAATGATTTTGCAGCTCAAAATGCAAGGAGGACAATTTTGAGATGATTCTGTAGCTGGTTTGGTTGCTGGTTGATGATTGTACTTGCTTGGGTTCTTGAGTGTTGCTGGTTTTGAAGTATTTTGCTTCATTTTGCTGGGTGTAGTTTTTTTGTATGTAAAAGAAAATTGAATAGATGCGAGTGTGTGAAAATAGACGAAGGATGATCTTGATTCTATTTGTCTAATGTAATTGATGCCATATAATGATTTCGGTTTAATATATTTATGATTTATGAATTTTAAAATTTGAAAAATTGTTATTTTACTTATACATATGGGGCCTCATCAGCTTTCTTCGCACAGGGCCTCCATATGTAATGGACCGGCTCTGCTCTTCGACATAAGGTAATTACAAGTATAGTTGGTGCAACAAATATTCCTAATAATAGAACTTTAATTATGCACCTAAATATCCAAAATCACAACTATCTGTTGCTTTTTTTTCTTTGTTACATACATATGTAAAGATTACGTTATACTTATTTACACAGAAATAACTGAGTCAATACCATTTAACATAAATAATTCTCAAATCACAAAATTGGAAATGAAATATTTGTCTTTCATCCATGTCATTATTGGATATGGGATTTATTCGACAACATGTCCCCACGCACTACGTCCACGCGTTCACAAGAGGGCTCCGCCACTTCATGGCAATTGCAATTTTCACTCTCAGTCGGATTCAGACCCGCCGACAGATTCCCTCCCTCTATCCGAACGAGAGGGTCAACTCTTGTCTCATTTCTCTATTCTCATCCTTCAATAAATAATACCCAAACAATCTGATCAGTGATCACACCCCAAAAAAAATCAAGCTCTGCAAGTGTGGGTGAGAAACTAACGACATGTCGTATGCGGTGCCGGTGCCGGCAGCTGGACCGAGCGCTCAGCCACTGGCGAACCCAGTGACGGTGGTCAGCCCACAGTTTCAAGCAACGTACCCAGTGGATCTGGTGATCACCGAGAAGATGATGACCCTCAAGGAAGGTGCCTTCACAGTCTCCGATGTCAACGGCAATCTCATGTTCAAGATCAAAGGCTCCCTGTTCAGCCTTCACGACCGCCGCGTTTTGCTCGACGGCGCCGGCAATCCGATCCTGTCTTTTCGACAAAAGGTACCCACCTGTATTTGTGTTTCATGGATTGGCGACACGTGTACGTACTGATATAGTTATAGTGAATCGCAGTAATTAAGTTAAATTTGTTAATTACAATTTACATCCCTATGTTGATCTCATATTCCAACAAAAGAGAAGAGTTGAAGAATTAACTCAATCTCAAAGAGGTGCTCTTGATAAATTCATTATTAAAGAACCACAAGGTTTAGTTGAAAATCTTGAAAATGTAGGTCATGATGAACAGGCTAATGAAAATGTGGAAAACTTAGGTCATGCGCTCAACCATGTCACAAGAAAGATTAAATGGTTTAACTTTGATATCTGTTGAAAGTGATTTCTTGGAAGAACTTGATTGTACTCGTTTTATTAATGATTTTGCAGCTCAAAATGTAAGGAGGACAATTTTTAGATGATTCTGTAGCTGGTTTGGTTGCTGGTTGATGATTGTACTTGCTTGGGTTCTTGCAAAAACAGCCACTGAAATTTTGAGTTCTTTAACAAGACTAAACTGTTTTCCAAATGCAATTACTGCTTATAGAATATTATTAACTTTGCCTGTTACAGTTGCATCTGCTGAGAGAAGTTTTTCAAAATTGAAGTTATTGAAATCTTACTTGCGGTCAACCATGTCACAAGAAAGATTAAATGGTTTAACTTTGATATTTTTTTGAAAGTGATTTCTTGGAAGAACTTGATTGTACTCGTTTTATTAATGATTTTGCAGCTCAAAATGCAAGGAGGACAATTTTTAGATGATTCTGTAGCTGGTTTGGTTGCTGGTTGATGATTGTACTTGCTTGGGTTCTTGAGTGTTGCTGGTTTTGAAGTATTTTGCTTCATTTTGCTGGGTGTAGTTTTTTTGTATGTAAAAGAAAATTGAATAGATGCGAGTGTGTGAAAATAGACGAAGGATGATCTTGATTCTATTTGTCTAATGTAATTGATGCCATATAATGATTTCGGTTTAATATATTTATGATTTATGAATTTTAAAATTTGAAAAATTGTTATTTTACTTATACATATGGGGCCTCATCAGCTTTCTTCGCACAGGGCCTCCATATGTAATGGACCGGCTCTGCTCTTCGACATAAGGTAATTACAAGTATAGTTGGTGCAACAAATATTCCTAATAATAGAACTTTAATTATGCACCTAAATATCCAAAATCACAACTATCTGTTGCTTTTTTTTCTTTGTTACATACATATGTAAAGATTACGTTATACTTATTTACACAGAAATAACTGAGTCAATACCATTTAACATAAATAATTCTCAAATCACAAAATTGGAAATGAAATATTTGTCTTTCATCCATGTCATTATTGGATATGGGATTTATTCGACAACATGTCCCCACGCACTACGTCCACGCGTTCACAAGAGGGCTCCGCCACTTCATGGCAATTGCAATTTTCACTCTCAGTCGGATTCAGACCCGCCGACAGATTCCCTCCCACTATCCGAACGAGAGGGTCAACTCTTGTCTCATTTCTCTATTCTCATCCTTCAATAAATAATACCCAAACAATCTGATCAGTGATCACACCCCAAAAAAAATCAAGCTCTGCAAGTGTGGGTGAGAAACTAACGACATGTCGTATGCGGTGCCGGTGCCGGCAGCTGGACCGAGCGCTCAGCCACTGGCGAACCCAGTGACGGTGGTCAGCCCACAGTTTCAAGCAACGTACCCAGTGGATCTGGTGATCACCGAGAAGATGATGAGCCTCAAGGAAGGTGCCTTCACAGTCTCCGATGTCAACGGCAATCTCATGTTCAAGATCAAAGGCTCCCTGTTCAGCCTTCACGACCGCCGCGTTTTGCTCGACGGCGCCGGCAATCCGATCCTGTCTTTTCGACAAAAGGTACCCACCTGTATTTGTGTTTCATGGATTGGCGACACGTGTACGTACTGATATAGTTATAGTGAATCGCAGTAATTAAGTTAAATTTGTTAATTACAATTTACATCCCTATGTTGATCTCATACAAGGTCAATTCAAAACAGCTCTAAAGCACTGAAAAATTACACCCCCATGTTTCTGCTTTGATCAAATTTGATCATAGTGCTGTTATTTGGGTTGATTTAGATATTGACAGCGCATAGGAGATGGCACGTATATAGAGGAGAGAGCTCAGAGGCCAAAGATTTACTTTTCACTGCGAAGAAGTCATCGCTTTTCCAGTTCAAGACTGAATTAGATGTGTTCTTGGCTGCTAATACAAAAGAAGAGCAATATGATTTCAAGGTCAAAGGAAGTTGGGGGGAGAGATCATGCACCATATACACTGGAGATAACACCATCATTGCTCAAGTAAGATTTAGCATATTATCCATCAGTTTCATCATGATGCATGATGATGATATAACATATATAATGTATTAATGTGAATGCAGATGCACAAGAAACATGATGTTAAAAGTGCTTTGTTTGGAAGAGATGCATTTGGAGTTACTGTGTACCCTCATGTTGATTACGCCTTCATAGTTGCTGTTGTGGTCGTTCTTCACGAGATTAATATGGATAGAAGCGGGGAAGACTGAAGCTGTGATGTGAATCGAGATGAATAAATTAGTGATTTTCACTTGTAATGTCACTTAACCATTGGAATTTCCAAGACTACTTCTATTGTGTTTTCTGGAATCTTTTAAATGAATAAATGAATGTTTGTGCCTCTGCTTTTGGATAAATTTTGAGTGGCACCGCTCTATATTCTCTCGTTGACTTGATCTTAAACATGATTAGTTACCAAAAGAGAAAGGCAGATTAATGTTTTAGAAACCGTATATATATGACACGAAGACACCTAGAGATGTAAAGAGATATATATTATTATTAATTAATTTCTTATATCTTTTGCTCGTTGACCTGTATTATGTTTGCTATTTCTACATCATCATATAACTTATAAGCCTCCCCTTCATTATTTCCTATCTTCCCTTTGCATAGGAAGAATGGGCACTGCAAGAAAATAGGCCTTAGTTAATACTTCATAGTTGAGGTTGTAAAACAATACTGCTCAAGAGAAGAGTGGTGAGAGCTTTGCATACCATCAACATAATGGTGTAGCTGTATTTATATTGATATTTCAAGAGTTAATAATTACAAACGGTTACATGAGAAATCCCTATTTACATGGGAATCAATTTGTACATTTGAAAACCCAAAAAGGATAACTGAATCAATCTATACATTTGAAAACCAAAAAAGGATAACCATATCAGAAAACAATTCAAATTAAGTCCAGGCAAACTAGGACTTCTCATCCAAAACAGATAAGGACTTTGAATTCAAACTTGCAGATAACGTCTGTCTAACATCCCCCCGCAAGCTGACAGGTCTTTGAACAACTGGAAGCTTGGACACCAAGTACTTGAAACGAACAACAGACAAGCCCTTGGTAAACAGATCAGCAATCTGATCTTGCGAGCACACAAAATGAACCAGTAGCTCATCTCTAGTTACCTTCTCTCGAACATAATGAAAGTCCACTTCCAAATGTTTGGTTCGAGAGTGAAATACAGGATTGGAAGCCATGGCTAGCGACGACACATTATCACACCAGATTTGAGGAGGGGATAAGCGTAGCCGCAAATCACAAAACAAGGAACGGAACCAAGAGAGTTCTGCAACAGTATGAGCAAGCTGTCGATACTCAGCTTCTGTGCTGGACCGTGATACAGTTTTCTGCTTTTTGGAACTCCATGAAACCAAGTTCTTTCCCAAATAAATACAAAAACCACCAGTTGAATGTCGAGAATCCGGATTACCAGCATAGTCTGCATCAGAGAAAGCATTGAGCTGCAATTCACAAGGATGATACACTAAGCCATGATCATAAGTATTTTTGAGATAACGTAAGATTCGTTTGACTG